ACAGCCTGACCAGCAGCCAAACTAAAATTACAAGCTGCCCAAGTTGCTGAACGCTACCACCAACCCAATTTATTAAAAAAAGTTAAAAATTATTCTCACCTGATGGCAGATTTGCGGTCCTTGGACACACTAATTTTGCAACAAGAAGTCGAAGCAGCCAAAGTAAAACTATTAGCCGCCGAGAACGCCCAGCAGATAAGTCAGCAATTAAAATTACAAACGGGATGTGAGGGTTGTGAATATACTAAAAGTTTATTCGCCGCCGATAAAGTTAAACCTTTGCAAAAAGACTTAGAAAATATTCAATTAGAAGCAGCCGCATTAGCCGTTTATAATACCCAACTATCCGAGCAAGAAGTAATTAAATTAGAAACTGATTTACGACAAGCTACCCTGGCTCAAACTCGGATAGAACGCTTAGCCGAAATTCAGAGCCAACGGGAAAAACTTAATGATTACCAAGTCCGCCTGAAAAAAAAAAATTACTGACAACAGCAAATGGCTGCTCTGGAAACTCTGGAAAAAGCTGCTTATTGGTGGCAAACAGATAAGGAAACATGGCAAGAATATGATTCGGCTCTCAGGCAACTGGAAAATATCCGTAATTTAGAAAAAGAATTGACTTTAATTTCCCAAAAGTTAGTCGCCTCCCAGTCATCGTTGGCGGAATTAATTCACGGAGAAAATGAGGCGCGACAAAAAGAAACTCAATTTATCAGTTTGCGAAAATTAGGATTAGAAAAAGTTATTGCCGCTACCAAAAATGTTGCAACTGTGAAAGAGACCATAAAAACTCGGACCAAACGCCAGCAACTTAAAAGCGAACTTCCCCAACTGGAAAACAAGTTGGCTACTTGCCAAAAGTGGATACTGTCTCAGGAAGCCGAACTAACTGACTTACGCTTACAACGCGACCAAACCGTGGGTATTATCGCTTCCCTAGACGCCGAGGTGGGGCGGCTTAGTCAGGCTTTGGTGGAGGAAACCCAAAGAGTCCATTTATTAACAGAAACGCAAGAGAAAATTAACCTAATAACCACCTATCGAAAGATTTTAGACCCTAAAACCGGCATTGCTGACCGTTTACTAAAAAGGTCGCGAGCTTATTTAGAAGCAGCAGTTAATTCTGTTCTCGGGGAATGTGGGGCTTCTTTTCGACTTCATATTAACGAAGAATTAGAATTAAATACGACCACTAATAATCCGTCTGTACCAGCCTCTAAAATATTGCTGGCCGCCACCCTGGGCAGTGGTTATCAAAAGTTTGTGCTCAGTTTAGCCTTCCGCACCGCTCTTTGACGATTAGCCGAAGTTCCTTTACCAGATTGTCAATTTATTGATGAAGGATTTGGCACCTGTGATGAAACAAACTTAGAAGCAATAATCCACTATTTGGTAGCCAGCACTACTGCTCCTAATCGGGCGGGCAAATCGGCTTTAATTGATATTATTATTTTTGCTCTTTATGACGAATATCCCCGAGCAGAACGCAAGTTAAACATTATTAATAAACAAACCACTCCTGATTACTACTTACGGTTAGATTTTGAATTAGATGGTAAAAAGGGTTATATTGAAAAAAAAGGCAAAAAAAACCATAATAAACATGATGCTCACTGTAAGTTAGTCTATGATAACCAGGAACTTACCCAAGGAACTAATACTCTTACTTGCCAAGCCATAATCAAATTAGTGGGAACCTACTCTAATGCCCAACTTACCGCCATTTTACAGCAAACTCCCGGAGCCGATTTTGTCCAGTTAAAACCTAGTGAACGAAAACAAGCCTTAGCACGGCTGTTAGCGTTGGGCTCTTTCGAACAATTAGCCCAGGAAATATATGAAGAATATTTAGAATTAAGAGGGAAATTAAGCACTCACCAAGACAATTTTGCGGGGAAAGAAGTGAGTGAGTTAAGAACAGAACGACAAATGGCTATCACTAAGGGCGAACAAGTCCGCCAGCAAGCACAAGTTTTAGATAACAAATTGGTGGGGAAAGAAAAAGAGCTCCGTGATTTTCGAGCCGAAAAAGAGCAAGTGGCCATTAATTTAGCCCGTTTACGAGATAAAATTACTAATTTAGGACCCGAAAATTCTACTAGTTTAGGACAAGCCGAAGCCGAGTTAAAAAAAACCTTAAAAATAACTCCTCTGGATAAAGAATTGTCAGCGGAAGAAGAATATAGAACTTATTTTTTCCAGCCAACAGTCAATTCTTCGCCTAATATTGGGGGAGATTTAGCAATAATTCCCACCCGCTCCCAAGTATTAGAAATTATTCAACAAACTAAGTTAGTTCAAGAAAAAAAACAAGCCCAAGAACCAGCAATTTTAGCCACTATTGTTCACTGGGATGGTCAAAAATCACGCTTAACTACCCTGTTAGAAACCACCCGCCAATCTTTATTGGAAAATCATCCTAAATTGGCAATAGATATGGAAAAAATGAAAGTAGCAGTTCCCGCTCAGGAAAGGCCAAAAGCGTTGGAGCCACCCTGACCAACCTGTCAGGAAGGGTCAAGACCAGCCGAGGAGGAAATATTAGCAGCCCAAAAACTTCTTGCTTCTTTGACGGCAGAAAAAGACTCCGCGCGCACAATTATTCTCCAAAACTTAGCCATAATTTCTAATAATCTAGTTCCTCCCGTCCAAGACGAAAAAGTGGGAGAGTATGACAATTTACTGGCTTCTTCCGTTTCTGACCACGAACTAGTGGCGGGTAAGAACTGGTTAGAAACAGCCTGACCAGCAGCCAAACTAAAATTACAAGCTGCCCAAGTTGCTGAACGCTACCACCAACCCAATTTATTAAA